GCTGCAGCTTCTGAATCTCCTTGACAGAAACCAGGGGGTTCTGTATCCTCATCTAACAGAAGCGCAGCTCTGGGCCATAGGGAGACCTCCTAAAGACTGTTCAGGTTAAGTATCTTCACATTTCTTATGGAAATCTCAAGACTTGGGAAGGATTGTACCCCTGCCAGCTGCCAGTCATAATTCCAGGACCCTCTGAATTAGACCCTTCATGTACTCAGGCCCTTAAAAAACTCTGGTGACATGGCTAAATTAAAGTGAATGTTACCAACCAGGTCCTCTTTCACCTGTGTCGTGAGAACTGGGGAAAGGTAGATACGGATAGATTTTCGAGGTTTCAGCCTAGTGAGAAGCAGCCCCGAAAGGAGAAGAGAGAGACACCAGAGTCAGGACACAGGAAGCGGTGAGGCACATGTGACCTGGAGTCACACAGGTCCAGTCTATTGTCACACTGTTATCAACTGAATTGTGCCACCCAGAAAGATATGTTGAAGTCCTAATCTTTGGTACCTAAGAACTTTATCTTGTTTAGAAATAGTCTTTGAAGATGGGATCAGTTACAAGAAGAGGTCATTCTGGAGTAGGGTAGGTCCTAACTCATCTGAGTAAGGTCTTATAAAAAAAGACGTGCAAAGTTAGCCTGAACAATGGCCATGTGACTATGGAGAAAGGCACAAGTTGAAGAATGCCAAAGATTTCCAGAAGCAAGTAGACACCGCTGGGCTGATTGGCAGCATCATGATAGACAATGAAGAGACTGAGATTGTTAACAGCTTCAATTTGCTTGGCTCCACAATCAACACTCTTGGTACAGTCAGGAAATCAAAAGATAAATTGCATTGGGAAAATCTGCTGTCAGGGACCTCTCCAAAGTACTGAAGAGCAATGATGTCTGTCTAGAGACTAAGGTGTGCCTGATCCAGGCTATGGTCTTATCAGTTACTTTCTATGCATCAGAAAGCTGGACATAACTAAGTATGATAGGAGAATTGATGCCTTTGAGCTGTGATGCTGGAGAAGAGTACTGAATATACCATGGACTGCTAGAAGAACAAACGAGTTCATCCTAGAAAGGGTGAGACCAGGCTGCTCTTTGGACGCAAGGATTCTGAAGCTTTGTCTGATACACTTTGGGCATGTGGCAAGGAGAGGGACATCATGCTTGGGAGGGTGGAGGGACAGTGCAAGAAAGGAAGACCCTAGATGAGATGGATTGACTCAGGGACTGGAGTAAGGTGTGTCAGAGACAATGAGGTTGGCACAGGATAGAGCAGGGTTCAGAGTTGTTCATAGGGTCGCTATGAGTCACAAGCGACTCAACAGCACTTAAAAACAATAACAACTAGACACTAGGAGTCAGTAGCCTGATTTGGACTTTTTTTTCCACTTCTTGTTGTGTACTGGAGTTGTATCCGACTGGCACAGGAGGCAATCAGAGGAGCATCTGGTGGATCTGAACCGCATGCCTTTGGGATTGCAGCACAGCTTCTTACCACTAGGCCAACAGAGCTCCCTTGATTTGGACTCCTAACCTCCACAACTTATGCTCCTGAAAGCTTCCTGTGTCATGATCTTTTGTCACAAAATCTTAGCACCCAGAGCTTTATTACTGGTATCTCCCAAGCACAGTTCTGCCCAAGGGTTCATTTTAGAGACATCTGTAATCCTGAGAGGATCAGTATTAATCTTCCTCACCTACACAGTGATTGGCAGCATGAGGACAGGTGCTTCTCAGCCAAGAGGAGAGAGAACTGGAAGTTTCCCTTTTAGCTCCATGCATCACTCCCCCTCCCTTTTGCGGGGGAGCTGACTATGTTCACTCTGGAGGGACTGAGGGAAGCCAGGGCTGGCTCTAATTCGATTTTGCTTAGACGGAGCTGGCAGCTGGGAACCACTTTCCCTAGGATTGCCCTCTACTGGGGAAACTCCATGACGGAGACAGGGCAGCTGACAGAGGGAAGCCTCAGGCTTGAGGAGGCTGCTGCAGCAGTGCCCCTGGGGACCACACAGGCTCGTGCTGGCTGCGGAGCCATGGAGACAGTCAACGCCAAGTTTGTTCCTGAGGTTCCCCTAGAAAGGCCTGAGGAGAAGGATTTCCTTATCAGTAGCACAGCAGCAAATACAAACGAACCCAGGACACAGCAAAAAAGGGTGGGATTTGGAAACTTGGAGACCTGGGGCCCAGTCCGGTGCTCTTTCAGTCCATGACCTTGTGAATTTTGGTCAAGTTATTTTGATCTTTGCCCATATCCTAGCTTGTTTGTAAAATGAGTATACTTAAGACCTCCCTCATTTGGGCTATGAAGAAAGTTACTTGAAATCATGCATTATAAACTAGAACCTAGAAGACAATAAGTATTCATTTATTTCACAAGAGTGAGGAGAAAGAAAACCACTGGCTTTTGAAGCCTCAGTCCATGGCTTATCAGCCTATTAGACAAAACCAAGCACGAGGCATCATGACATTTGTTGGACTCCTTGTTTCAGTGAAGATGTGTGTTTACCATTCACCAAGGGCTCCTGAGAGGTTCCCTAAACATTCTGGCCCTCACAAGTGGTTTCCATGGGTAGCCTAGGATTGACACGCAGGCACAAAGGATCTGTTCTCAGAGATCTGGTCAGCATCTCCCTCAAACCCTTTGCTGTCCTTCAGGAACCTGAAATGCTGTGCTGTTCTTCCTTTGTGCTATCAGCTCCACGTCCCTGTCCCGAGGAAGGCCAGAATGACACAGCTACATGTCACCCTGCGAGCTGCAAACAGCTGGTATTGAAAAATATCCTTGAGGACTACAACTTTCACAGAGGAGGTTACCATGCCAACGACAGCCTCCTTGCCCAATAGGGATGAAAGGAAACAAGGCCGCAGGTGATACACATCTATTGTGTGTTCCCAGACTTGCCTAGCACCCATTAGGGGTTGCTCACTGCTGTAAGGCGGGATGGGGCTGCACAGAGGGGTAAGGGAATTCAGGTTAGATTTAAAGTGAGACTCCAGGCCTGGCAGGCCTGATGAGTGCAGGGCAGGGCCAACCAAGGAAGATTGGGAAATGTTTTTCAAGATTGATACCCATCTCTTGTTGAAATGTGTGGGTGTGGTACTGACAGCAAGCGTGGGAGGGGATGCTGCCCTAGATACCAGGTTCTGGCTGTGATGAGAACTTCAGCTTCCTCCAGGTTCTTTTTACCCTTGCCAGGAAGTCACCTGTGCTCTGGGTTAGGGAGGGAAAATCCTAGCCCTGTTGACCTTGCGAAATTATAGAACAAAGAGGATGGATCACAGACTATCCTGGTGATGGCTGAACCGAAAAAGGAGAACATCCAGGCCAGACACCCTCTGGGAGAAGCACCAGGTTTTAGCGACAAGGCTTCACCAATCCCACGGAAGGGTCAGTCATTACCTAGGGGGTAATTCCTGCCCCTATATCCACATACTTAGTCCAGAACGTGCAAAGACAGTAGAGAAACTATCATTTATTAAGAACCTACTGCATGCCAAGCACTCCATATATGCGTGTTCACCGCCCCTCCCCCATTTAATTATCAGAACCAATCTGCAAACTAGGAATTACATATGTCATTTTAGGAGAAAATCATGTTCAGAGAGGGTAAATACATCAAATAGTTGGGATAGAAACCTCTACCACCTCCCTAAACGGCATCCCACAGTCCAGACAGGATAACCTCGAGGTTATCTATCCTATTTTCTGGAAAGATATCTCTGGAAGCTGCCACCTCCCCCTTCAGTCTTTCCTCCAAGTCCTTCTCAGGTGTCACGTCAGTCGGCTGACAACAGGGCTAAATGGACACAGGCGGCGGGTGTCTGGAAAAGCTGCCCCCACCTCCAACGTCCATGTCCCCACCAGGAGATGCTGGGGGTGGGGGCATCCTCTGTGTTCCTACAACCCGCGGGAGAGGAAACCCAGGCTCCAGCCAAGGGCCTTTTCCCCAAGGTCAGAGTCGGTCAGCCATGAGGCGGGAACCACTCAGGCCTTGCCGAGCCTCCGGCTCATGAACCCCCGCGCTCCCTCAGTCCCAGTGCACTCTGCAAACACCGGGGCGAAGGGGACAATGGGGGCAGGAGCGGAGGGAGCGGCGGCGGGGTGCGCGTGCTGGGGCGCCGGGGGCGCAGCGCGGGGGCGGCTCTGGGACTCGGCGGCCCCCAGCGGCGGAAACGACCTCCATCCCGGGCGCGCTCCCCGGCCCGCCCATCGCCATGTATGGCGCTTCCTCCCGCAGCCCTACAAGGCGCTTCCTCTCCGCCAGAGGCCCATACAAGGCGCTTCCTTCCCGGCGCGTCTGGCAGACGGCCCGCGGGTCCGCCCGCGCCCGGGAGCCAGCGGCCAGGGGACCCGCTGCCAAAGAGGGGGCGGCCGGCGGGAGCGGCCTGGCGGGCGCCCGGGGCTGGGGACGCGCGGCCGGGCGCAGCGGAGGTAAACGCGGGCAGGCGGTCCCCTCTCCTGGGCGAGGCTCCCCGCGTCCCCCACCGGCTTCCTATTCTGCTCCTCTCTCCTCCCCTAACTCTGAACACAGCACACCCTGCTGGGAACCTCCGGGAGCTGAAACTGCTAGGCGGGAGCCCGCCCCACCTCCTCAGCCCCTTCTGTTTTGCAAATTCACCTTTGGTAATATCTGCTAGTGTTTTTTCTCTCTTCCTCCCTATCTGCTGTTTCCCACTCTTCCCTGCCTTAACTTGAACTGTCCACTCTCCCTGCAGGCCCCTTTCTGCCCCATTCTGCTAGGCTGACCCCCATTCTGATGAGGTGCTGGTGCTGGTGGTTCTGGGTGCAAACCCTCCCCTTTCACGTCCTCACTTTACAATCTGTGACACGCTTAACACGTTGTTATACATTTCTTCATTTATTGGGACTGCGATTTGATCTCCCCCACTTTTGTAATCCTAGTGCCTAGCAGTGGAAGCGCTTGGTAAATTATAGTTATTATTGTGTCCCAGTGGGGGGAAAGCATCGTGTATGTTTGCAGGTCCGCCACAGCCCCCTTTCACTCTATGGACATGGGTCTCCGACTTTAGCAGCTGACGCTGGCTTCTCTACCTGTTGTGGCTTCATGGTCAAGAGGGTCACAGGCCCCAGAAGCCCGCAAGGGTAGTTTGATTCTGCAGAGGGCGGAAAGGAGCCACAGCTGGGCCAGATGGACACCTCAGTGGGCTGAGATCTGGAGGTGGGCCCACTGGATGCCTTTCCCCAGCCCAGAGAACCCTCTGTCCCCCTTTTGCTCAGCCTACTAGTTCTGGTTTCCCCACAGCGGCCACCAGCAGGCCCCCATAAGGCTCTCCCTACTGTGTTTCCTGGCCCAGCCTGAGAGCTATCTTGGCCTGATCGGCTGTGAGATGAGCAAAGGTCAGAGAGGAGTCAAAATTCAGCAGAGGCCCAGCCCCAGCTCTAACAGAAGCTCAGCACATCCAAGTCTAGACTTTTTTTGCCAGAGCAGCCTGTGATCCTTACATAGTTCTGCAGCAGGTGAGGTAGGGAAGAGGCTTCTAGCACCAAGCCTCTAAATTGTTATTAGGTGCTATTTTTTTTCCCTATAATTATATTTTATTAATTTTCATA